CACTCTCTCCCCCCCCCCCCGCTCACCGGTAGCCAGGCCCAGGCTGAGTGTACCCTGTGAACGGGGGTCTTGCCCGTGAGTAGGGGTTACCCTGGCCCACCACCAGCGGGGGGGTCCCGGAGCCCCCCCCCTGAGGGTGGGGGCCCCCCCCGCCCCCCTGAGCGTGGGGGCCCCCCCCGCCCCCCTGAGGGTGGGGGCCCCCCCCGCCCCCGCCCCCCGTGGCGGACGCGGGGGGGTACGGAGCGCCCCCTCCTCCGAACTGAGTTGGGTGGGCCTGTTGCCCCGGGTAACCGCCGGGGGGAGGGGCCTGTTGCCCCGGGTAACCGCCGGGGGGAGGGGCCTGTTGCCCCGGGTAACCGCCGGGGGGCGGGGCCTGTTGCCCCGGGTAACCGCCGGGGGGCGGGGCCTGTTGCCCCGGGTAACCGCCGGGGGGAGGGGCCTGTTGGCCCGGGTAGCCGCCGGGGGGCGGGGCCTGTTGCCCCGGGTAACTGCCGGGTGCTGGGTGTCCTGGTGGTTGTTGTTGTTGTGGTTGTGGTTGTTGTTGTGGTGGTTGTTGTTGTTGTTGCGGTGGGAAGACCTGGAAGCTTTGAGGGCCTGGGGCTGCAAAACACAAACAGATGGACACTCACACTCACCCACACTCACACCCACACCCACCCACACACACACACTCACCCACTCACCCACTCACCCACTCACACACACACCCACACACTCACACACCCACACACCCACCCACACAAAAGATCCCCCGTATAGCCTTAACAGACTGTAGGGGCAAGTGCTGTTAGCGAGCACCTATGAAGGCCGGAACGGTACACGAGGGGGTGGGTGGCCAGCACCACGCCCGACCGCCTTTGTCTCCCTAGTGACGATGTTTACACACCGCACCAGGTACTCATTTGAGGCTGAGTCGACCTAGGGGAGGCCCGGGACCGGTTCAGATAATCGTCACTGGTGTTGGCCGTGAGCGGGAATCGAACCCGGGTCGCCAGGTTCATAGCACAGCGTAGCGCTAACCACTACACTACCGCTCCCCACACACACACACACCCACCCACACACACCCCCACACACACCCACCCACACACCCACCCACACACCCACCCACACACCCACATTCACACACACACCCACACACACTTTCACACACACCCACCCACACTCACTCACACATTCACACACACCCACCTACACTCACTCACACATTCACACACACCCACCTACACTCACTCACACATTCACACACACCCACCTACACTCACTCACACATTCACACACACCCACCCACACTCACTCACACATTCACACACACCCACCTACACTCACTCACACATTCACACACACCCACCTACACTCACTCACACATTCACACACACCCACCTACACTCACTCACACATTCACACACACCCACCTACACACACCCACACATTCACACACCCACACTCACCCAATCACACATTCACACACCCACACACTAACGCACTCACACACCCACACACATCCACAAACACCCACACTCACAAACACCCACACTCACAAACACCCACACTCACAAACACCCACACTCACCCGCTCACCCACCCACCCGCTCACCCACCCACCCGCTCACCCACCCACCCGCTCACCCACCCACCCGCTCACCCACCCACCCGCTCACCCACCCGCCCGCTCACCCACCCGCCCGCTCACCCACCCGCCCGCTCACCCACCCGCCCACCCACCCACCCGCTCACCCACCCACCCACACACATCCACACACATCCACACACATCCACACACATCCACACACATCCACACACCCACACACCCACACACCCACACACCCACACACCCACACTCACCCACACTCACCCACACTCACCCACACTCACCCACACTCACCCACACTCACCCACACTCACCCACACTCACACACCCACACTCACACACACTCACACACACACACCCTCACACATACACACACCCACACACACACCCTCACACACCCACACACACACCCACACATCCACACACACCCACACACACACCCACACATCCACACTAACACCCCCACACCCTCACACACCCACACACACACCCACACACCTACACTCACACACCCACACACCCACACACCCACCCACACCCGCCCGCTCAACCACCCGCCCGCTCAACCACCCGCCCACCCACCCACTCACCCACCCACTCACCCACTCACCCACCCACCCACTCACTCACCCCACCCGCAGGGGGTCTCCACTCTCTGTGGCACGGCTGTACCCGTACGGGTCACAGTGTGGATGAAGCGCCGATGCCGGAACAGCGTGGTTGGTCAATTACAACCCCATGGGCTGCACAGAAATCTAGCAGCCTCCTACCGTTGTTATTGAGCTGATCTGGCCCATGCCCTCCAATCACTCCAGACCAGGTGCCAGCATCATGACCAGCTCGGGCATTGAAGTCACCCAACAAGATGACTCTATCCCGAGGGGCCACTTTAGCCAGCACCTGTGACAGGAGGTCGTGGAAGGCATCCGACTCATCGGCCTTGCCTGCATCCCTCCACGGATGTTCGTCTTCGGTGGGGGCATAAGTAACCACGACCACCAACCTCAGCTACCATCACCACGACCAACCCGAACTACCATCATCACCATCAACTACCACCATCAATTACCACCATCAATTACCACCACCACCATCAATTACCACCACCACCATCACCACCATCACCACCATCACCACCAGCACCACCAGCACCATCACCACCACCAGCACCATCACCACCACCACCACCAGCACCATCACCACCAGCACCATCACCACCAGCACCATCACCACCATCACCACCAGCACCACCACCACCAGCACCATCACCACCATCACCACCATCACCACCAGCACCATCACCACCATCACCACCACCATCATCATCACCACCATCATCACCAACTATCATCACCAACTACCATCACCACCACCATCACCACCACCTACCTGGATATTTGCAATCCCATGGAGGATACGGATAGGGCTGGCCTGTGCAGACACGGGGGGAGGGGGGACACGGGAGAGAGAGAGACACGGGGAGAGAGAGAGAGAGACACGGGGAGAGAGAGAGAGAGACACGGGGAGAGAGAGAGAGAGACACGGGGAGAGAGAGAGAGAGACACGGGGAGAGAGAGAGAGACACGGGGAGAGAGAGAGAGAGACACGGGGAGAGAGACACGGGGAGAGAGAGAGACACGGGGAGAGAGAGAGACACGGGGAGAGAGAGAGAGACACGGGGAGAGAGAGAGAGACACGGGGAGAGAGAGAGACACGGGGAGAGAGAGAGACACGGGGAGAGAGAGAGACACGGGGAGAGAGAGAGACACGGGGAGAGAGAGAGACACGGGGAGAGAGAGAGACACGGGGAGAGAGAGAGACACGGGGAGAGAGAGAGACACGGGGAGAGAGAGACACGGGGAGAGAGAGAGAGACACGGGGAGAGAGAGAGAGACACGGGGAGAGAGAGACACGGTGAGAGAGAGAGAGACACGGTGAGAGAGAGAGAGACACGGGGAGAGAGAGAGAGACACGGGGAGAGAGAGACACGGGGAGAGAGAGACACGGGGAGAGAGAGAGACACGGGGAGAGAGAGACACGGGGAGAGAGAGAAACACGGGGAGAGAGAGAGACACGGGGAGAGAGAGACACGGGGAGAGAGAGAGACACGGGGAGAGAGAGAGACACGGGGAGAGAGAGAGACACGGGGAGAGAGAGAGACACGGGGAGAGAGAGAGACACGGGGAGAGAGAGACACGGGGAGAGAGAGACACGGGGAGAGAGAGACACGGGGAGAGAGTGAGACACGGGGAGAGAGAGAGACACGGGGAGAGAGAGAGACACAGGGGGGAGAGAGACACAGGGGGAAGAGAGACGGGGGAGAGAGACACGGGGAGAGAGACACGGGGAGAGAGACACGGGGAGAGAGACACGGGGAGAGAGACACGGGGAGAGAGAGAGACACGGGGAGAGAGAGACACGGGGAGAGAGAGAGACACGGGGAGAGAGAGACACGGGGAGAGACACGGGGAGAGAGACACGGGGAGAGAGAGACACGGGGAGAGAGAGACACGGGGAGAGAGAGAGACACGGGTGGCAGAGAGACACGGAGAGACACATAGGGGCAAGTGCTGTTAGCGAGCACCTATGAAGGCCGGCTCTGTGGCACATGAGGGAGTGGGTGGCCAGCACCACGCCCGCAGAGAGACACACAGAGACACACACACAGACACACAGACACACACAGTGACACACACACAGTGACACACACGGACACACACAGACACACAAACACACAGACACACACAGACACACACACAGACACGCAAACACAGACACGCAGACGCAGACACACACACACACAGACAGGCAGACAAGCACACACACAAATAGACAGACACGCAAACACAGACACGCACACACACACAGACACGCAAACAGACACGCACACACAGACGCAGATATACACACACACACACACAGACAGACACGCAAACACAGACACACACACATACACACGCAGACACACACACACACACACGCAGACACACACACACACACACACGCAGACACACACACACACACACGCAGACACACACACACACACACGCAGACACACACACACACACACACGCAGACACACACACACACACACACGCAGACACACACACACACACACGCAGACACACACACACACACACATACAGACACACACACACATACAGACACACACACATACAGACACACACACATACAGACACACACACACACACATACAGACACGCAGACAAGCACACACACATACAGACACACACAGACACATACAGACACACACACACAGACACACAGCGGTTCAAGTGGTGGTGGTGTTGGTGTCTCACCAGCTTGTGGTGGTTGTTGTTGTTGTGGTGGTTGTTGTTGTTGTGGTTGTGGTTGTTGTGGAAATCCCGGATGTTGTTGCGAGGATGAGGAGGAGTTGATGCTGTCGGGAGAGCCACTGCCTCTCTCCTCTAGAGACACGGGGAGAGAGAGACACGGGGAGAGAGACACACGGGGAGAGAGACACACGGGGAGAGAGAGACACGGGGAGAGAGAGACACGGGGAGAGAGAGACACGGGGAGAGAGACACACGGGGAGAGAGACACACGGGGAGAGAGACACACGGGGAGAGATACACACGGGGAGAGAGACACACGGGGAGAGAGACACACGGGGAGAGAGACACACGGGGAGAGAGACACACGGGGAGAGAGACACACGGGGAGAGAGACACACGGGGAGAGAGACACACGGGGAGAGAGACACACGGGGAGAGAGACACACGGGGAGAGAGACACACGGGGAGAGAGACACACGGGGAGAGAGAGACTCGGGGAGAGAGAGACACGGGGAGAGAGAGACACGGGGAGAGAGAGACACGGGGAGAGAGAGACACGGGGAGAGAGAGACACGGGGAGAGAGAGACACGGGGAGAGAGAGACACGGGGAGAGAGAGACACTGGGAGAGAGAGACACGGGGAGAGAGAGAAACACGGGGAGAGAGACACACGGGGAGAGAGACACACGGGGAGAGAGACACACGGGGAGAGAGACACACGGGGAGAGAGACACACGGGGAGAGAGACACACGGGGAGAGAGACACACGGGGAGAGAGACACACGGGGAGAGAGACACACGGGGAGAGAGACACACGGGGGGAGAGACACACGGGGAGAGACACACGGGGAGAGAGACACACGGGGAGAGAGACACACGGGGAGAGAGACACACGGGGAGAGAGACACACGGAGAGACAGACACACGGGGAGAGACACACGGGGAGAGACACACAGGGAGAGACAGAGACACAGGGAGACAGAGAGAGACACAGATGAGTGGGTGGGCGATTAACACCACATCCACCACCACCACCCTCACCACAACCACCACCCCCCTCACCACAACCACCATCACCACAACAACCGCCATTCGCCACTAAGTGGCGGTGACGTCACCACGACGCTTGTGCCAGGCTATGTGCACCCTGAGGCCACGTGAAGTGTCGAACGCCCGCTGGCAGGAGGTCACGGGGCAGACCCAGGTGCCACGGGTCGACTGACTGAGATGACTGGCTGATGCACCACCTGTGCCCCCTACTGTGCCAACCTGCTGTGCTTTAGCCACCCGGCGCTCCGCTCGTTGTTGTGAGCGTCGCTCCTCCGCCCTCCGTTGTTGTTGGAGGGCGACTGCCTCCAACTGCCCAGTAGCAGCGTCCTTCACAAGCCTCCTCCACAGAGGCCGATCTTGACAACGCTGGTACCAGTCATAGGCAAGTTCACTCAGCTCCACGTCCTCCTGTACCACATCACTCCATCTCCTCTCTAGCCCGTGCCGCGCCCGTTTAGCCCCCTCGATCCGGCCGAACAAAAGCTGTTTCGGCATGCGGTGGCTGGGCATGCAGGCTACATGACCCAGCCAACGCAGCCTTGCCTGCTGGAAGAGCTCACCGATGGGACCGTGCCCAGATCTTTCAAGGATTTGTGAGCTCCTCACACAATCCAGCCTGGTTAAACCCAGGATGGATCGTAGGCAGGCCAGCCTAAATGGTTCTAACCGGTGAAGATGTTCCATTAGGGGGGGTCCACGTTTCGCAAGCGTAGAGAAGGGAGGGAATGACCGTGGCCAAGAAGACCTGAAGCTTCGTGTGGAGTGACAGACCAGGTAGCTTCCACACAGCGTTACGCAACCGATGAAAAGATAATGCCGCTCGACTGATTCGGAGCAAGACCTCTGCTGTTAAACCGGAACCAGTCATGAGCACACTGCCCAGGTATGGGAAACTCTCCACTCTCTCCACAACTGCCCTATCATCAATTGGAAGTCGTGGGGGTGGAGTGTCCGTTGGGACAAAATACCCAGGCAGGTGCTTAGTTTTGGTGGGGCTGATGGTAAGGCCCCACCTCTTAGTGGCAAGCTCCAGGTTCAGCAGCAGCGCCTCCAACTCCTCCTGACTGAGCAGCTATTACCAAATCATCGGCATACATAACGTGGTTGAGCAATAGGGAGCCATCCTTTGACCGCACCCGGGCATCGATCAGCCTCCCATTGTATCTGTACCAGATGGAAATTCCTCCGGTACAGCTATTGAAGGCTTCACGAACTACGTGGTCAAAATAGATGTTAAATAATGTGGGAGCCAGAGGACATCCCTGTCGCACCAGAAGGCGTACAGGGAATGGCTCCGACTCCCGGCCACGTAGTTTTACCCAGGCCCGCTCACCATCATGAAGGTCCTTAATGATTGTGAGCAGAGGGTTAGGGACTCCGAAAGCACGAAGAACTACCCAGAGCCCAGGCCTACTGATGGCATCATAGGCCTTTACCAGGTCAATAAAGCAGAGATGTAGGTCTTGTTGGAATTCCCTATACCCCTGCTGTAGCAGACAGACAGAAAATATGGCATCTGTGCAGGACCGCCATTTCCTGAAACCGCATTGGGGCTCCGCAAGCCTCTCCTCAGCGTGCCTGGCAAGGCGATGTTGGATAATCCTTGCCAGGACCTTTCCCCGCACACTGAGGAGTGAGATGCCCCTGTAGTTGTTACAGTCTGTGCGGTGCCCCTTCTTAAAGAGGGGGACCACCAGGGCATCCTTCCAATCCTGCGGAACCCGTCCAGTGGTCCACACTGTTGTTATGATGTCATATAGGGCAGTCTGTGCACAAACGCCACCCTCCCTCAGCATTTCGCTTGGGAGATCATCTCTGCCCGCTGCCTTTCCTGGTCTCAGACTCCGGATCGCCTTCAGTACTTCCTCAACAGATGGCACCTCAGCCAGCCACTCACAGGGGGTGACTTCTTCCAATATTTGAGGCACCGCAGCCTCAGCAGGGTCATCCTCACTTTGTGCCACGATGTTTTACAGGCTGAGGGATTTCCCCTACCCCAGGACCTCACAGAAATGCTCAGCAAACCTGCAAACCTGTTCCTGGGGGTCGGAGATTGGATCACCGTTCTTTCTCCTAATGATGGTAATAGGTGTGGCGCTGTAGGTTACTTTTTTGATGGCATTAAAGAGCGATTTGTGATCGCGGGCCATTGAGGCAAACTCCCATCTCCTCGGCAACCTGCGACCACCACCCATCCTTGCAGCGCCTCACGGCTCTCCGAACCTCCGAGCGAAGGCTGCGGTAAGCCTCCTCATTCTCTGACGTGGTATGCTGTAGACGATTAGAGTGGGCCTGTCGCTTTTTCTCAACCATCCTGAACACCTCTGTCAGCCAGGGTCTCTGGGGAGGTCTGGACCGTGTACCCAAAGCAGCCATTGCAGCGACATGAGCCACAGTCCTAAACCTCGCCCATGTACCCTCGATATCCGGAGGAGTGGGGGACGATGCCAATCCCAGCCGCAAGCGATGATTAAATTCTCGCTTGCAACTTTCATCAGATAACTGAAACCAGGCCACTATGGGTTTGAATGGGGTCCTGGGTGTACACCCACCACCGGAGGGGAAGAATGGCAGGCGCATCTTACAGATGACAAGTCGATGGTCAGTGGGCAGATCAGCTCCACGGTAGGTCCTGGGTGTCAAGGACATGGGCCCGCATCCGCTGTGCCGTCACTATGTAGTCCAGCAGGTGTTCTTGCTTGAACCCGGCATGCATCCATGATGTTGTGTGGATGCGCCGATGCCGGAACAGCGTGTTGGTAATTACAAGCCCATGGGCTGCACAAAAATCTAGCAGCCTCCTACCGTTGTTATTGAGCTGATCTGGCCCATGCCCTCCAATCACTCCAGACCAGGTGCCAGCATCATGACCAACTCGGGCATTGAAGTCACCCAACAAGATGACTCTATCCCGAGGGGCCACTTTAGCCAGCACCTGTGACAGGAGGTCATAGAAGGCAACTGACTCATCGGCTTTGCCTGCATCCCTCCACGGATGTTCATCTTCAGTGGGGGCATAATTAACCACGACCACCTCTCCTCGCCTCCGGTTGATGGGAAGGCGAGCCCAAAGTAGCCTGGGGCTTACAGCTTCCCACACCTCACCGCCACGCTCCCACGCCCCCTTCATTCTTTTGTTCAAAAGAAGACCCACACCCTGTTGTTTGGCAGTCTGCTGCCCCGAGTAGAGGACTGTCCACCCCTCATGGTGGCAGGAGCCAGAGCCGGTCCACCGGACCTCCTGAATGCCGCATAGATCCAGGCGGTACCGGTCCAGCTCCCGACAGAGGAGTGGCAGCCTCTCCTCTGCAGTGAGCGTTCAAACATTCCACGTGGCCACCCGTAGTGGCTTTTCGTTGTTTCTGGAGTAGCCCCGAGGGTAGGTATTCAATCTCCTGGCTCCGCCAATTGGGGTTTGGCCAGGAGACGTCATAGACGCCTGTCCCCCCGGGTCCTCCGGCACAAGCTTATTAATAAAACATTCCGTCGTGGTTTTGTGGTAATTAATTGAAGGTGGAGGGGTTATCAGCCCCTCGCACCCGTCCAGAGCCCCCGTTTAGCCACTGTGGTGGTCACAGACGCCATGAGGGGAGAGGACCAATGGGAATTGGCCCTCTCCCCCACAGCACTGTCCACGACAGCGTTGCCCGTCCGGTACCGCGAGGAGGGAGGGGGTTGTTTTGCCATCACCACCACCACCCTCACCACCACCCTCACCACCACCACCACCTCACCACCACCCTCACCACCACCACCCCACTCACGATCACCACCACCCCTTCCTCACCACTACCACCACCACCACCCTCACCACCACCACCACCACCACCCTCACCACCACCCTCACCACCACCCTCACCACCACCCCCATCACCCTCACCCTCACCACCACCACCACCACCACCCTCACCACCTCAACCCTCACCACCACCCTCACCACCCTCACCACCCTCACCACCACCACCACCACCCTCACCACCACCCTCACCACCACCACCACCACCCTCACCACCACCACCACCCTCACCACCACCCTCACCACCACCACCGCTACGTCCTCACCTCCTCCACCGTCCTCTGCCGTGAGTCCAAACGCCGACAGCACTCGCTTGGCTCCCTCTGGTTGCAACGGATCAAACGCCGACACCGCTCCACCACCACCACCACCACCGCCACCACCACCACCACCGCCACCACCACCACCGCCACCACCGCCACCACCGCCACCACCGGCCATCACTTCCTGCTGCTGCTGCCTGGCTAAGCCTGCGTTAGGCCCCATCCACTCAGCGGCAGCTGCAGCAGTGGATGGGGCCTGCAGCTGCTGCTGCTGCTGCTGCTGTTGGGGCCTGTGGCCACCGGCAGGACTGGGGCATGCCGAGGGATCCTGGCCGGGCCCGCGTGGAGCGGAGGTGGAGGAGGTGGAGGAGGTGGAGGAGGTGGAGGAGTCGAGGGTGTCCATGACGGAGGAGACGCGATCGCGGAGCTCCGACAGCTGCCGGCGGAGGTCACGGACCACCTCCGTGTCCAGAGGGCGGGGACAGCCGTTTACTGGGGAGGGGAGGGGATGGGGATGGGGAGGAGTGGATGAGTGAGTGAGTGGGTGAGTGAGCGGGTGGGTGAGTGAGTGGGTGGGTGAGTGGGTGAGTGGGTGAGTGAGTGGGTGAGTGAGTGGGTGGGTGAGTGGGTGGGTGAGTGGGTGAGTGAGTGAGTGGGTGGGTGGGTGAGTGAGTGAGTGGGTGAGTGGGTGGGTGAGTGAGTGGGTGAGTGAGTGGGTGAGTGGGTGAGTGGGTAAGTGAGTGAGTGAGTGGGTGGGTGGGTGGGTGAGTGAGTGAGTGAGTGGGTGGGTGAGTGAGTGGGTGGGTGAGTGAGTGGGTGGGTGAGTGGGTGAGTGAGTGGGTGAGTGGGTGGGTGAGTGGGTAAGTGAGTGGGTGAGTGAGTGGGTGGGTGGGTGAGTGAGTGGGTGGGTGAGTGAGTGAGTGGGTGAGTGAGTGAGTGGGTGAGTGGGTGAGTGAGTGGGTGAGTGGGTAAGTGAGTGAGTGAGTGGGTGGGTGGGTGAGTGGGTGGGTGAGTGAGTGGGTGGGTGGGTGGGTGAGTGAGTGAGTGAGTGGGTGGGTGAGTGAGTGGGTGGGTGAGTGAGTGAGTGGGTGGGTGAGTGGGTGAGTGAGTGGGTGAGTGAGTGGGTGAGTGAGTGGGTGAGTCGGTGAGTGGGTGAGCGGGTGGGTTGGTGAGCGAGTGGGTGAGTGGGTGGGTGGGTGGGTGAGTGGGTGAGTGGGTGAGTGGGTGGGTGGGTGGGTGAGTGGGTGAGTGAGTGGTTGGGTGAGTGAGTGGGTGAGTGAGTGGGTGGGTGAGTGGGTGAGTCGGTGAGTGGGTGAGCGGGTGGGTTGGTGAGCGAGTGGGTGGGTGAGCGAGTGGGTGGGTGAGTGAGTGGGTGGGTGAGTGGGTGAGTGGATGAGTCAGTGAGTGGCTGAGTAGGTGAGTGTGTGGGTGGGTGAGTGAGCGGGTGAGTGAGTGGGTGAGTAAGTGTGGGTGAGTGGGTGGGTGGGTGAGTGGGTGAGTGGGTGAGCGGGTGAGCGGGTGAGCGGGTGAGCGGGTGGGTGACTGAGTAGGTGAGTGAGTGGGTGGGTGAGTGAGTTGGTGAGTGAGTGGGTGGGTGAGTGAGTGAGTGGGTGGGTGGGTGAGTGAGTGAATGGGTGAGCGGGTGACTGAGCGGGTGAGTGAGTGGGTGAGTGAGTGTGTGGGTGAGTAAGTGTGGGTGAGTGGGTGAGTGAGTGGGTGGGTGAGTGAGCGGGTGAGTGAGTGTGGCTGAGTGGGTGAGTGAGCGGGTGAGTGGGTGAGTGGGTGAGTGAGTGGGTGAGTGAGTGGGTGAGTGAGTGGGTGAGTGAGTGGGTGAGTGAGTGGGTGAGTGAGTGGGTGAGTGAGTGGGTGAGTGAGTCACCAAACAGGGTGAGTTTGAGGATGCGGCTGCACTGGATGGCGAAGGAGAGGTCGGAGCTGTCAAACACAGTGATGAGGTCTCCATCTGCACCACCACAACAACAACCAACACCACCACATCAACAACCACCACCACCACATCAACAACCACCACCACCACATCAACAACCAACACCACCACCACATCAACAACCACCACATCAACAACCACCACCACATCAACAACCACCACCACATCAACAACCACCACCACCACATCAACAACCACCACCACCACATCAACAACCACCACCACATCAACAACCAACACCACATCAACAACCAACACCACCACCACATCAACAACCACCACCACCACCACATCAACAACCACCACCACCACCACATCAACAACCACCACCACCACCACATCAACAACCACCACCACATCAACAACCACCACCACCACCACATCAACAACCACCACCACCACCACATCAACAACCACCACCACCACATCAACAACCACCACCACCACCACATCAACAACCACCACCACCACCACATCAACAACCACCACCACCACCACATCAACAACCACCACCACCACCACATCAACAACCACCACCACCACCACATCAACAACCACCACCACCACCACATCAACAACCACCACCACCACCACATCAACAACCACCACCACCACCACATCAACCACCACCACCACATCAACCACCACCACCACATCAACCACCACCACATCAACAACCACCACCACATCAACCACCACCACATCAACAACCACCACCACATCAACAACCACCACCACATCAACAACCACCACCACAGCAACAACCACCACCACATCAACAACCACCACCACATCAACAACCACCACCACATCAACAACCACCACCACATCAACAACCACATCAACAACCACCACCACCACATCAACCACCACCACCACATCAACCACCACCACCACATCAACAACCACCACCACATCAACCACCACCACCACATCAACCACCACCACCACATCAACAACCACCACCACATCAACCACCACCACATCAACAACCACCACCACATCAACAACCACCACCACATCAACAACCACCACCACCACCACATCAACCACCACCACCACATCAACCACCACCACATCAACAACCACCACCACATCAACCACCACCACATCAACAACCACCACCACATCAACAACCACCACCACATCAACAACCACCACCACATCAACAACCACCACCACATCAACAACCACCACCACATCAACAACCACATCAACAACCACCACCACCACATCAACAACCACCACCACATCAACCACCACCACCACATCAACAACCACCACCACATCAACCACCACCACCACATCAACCACCACCACCACATCAACAACCACCACCACATCAACCACCACCACATCAACAACCACCACCACATTAACAACCACCACCACATCAACAACCACCACCACATCAACAACCACCACCACATCAACAACCACCACCACATCAACAACCACCACCACATCAACAACCACCACCACATCAACAACCACCACCACAACAACAACCACCACCACAACAACAACCACCACCACATCAACAACCACCACCACATCAACAACCACCACCACATCAACAACCACCACCACATCAACAACCACCACCACATCAACAACCACCACCACATCAACAACCACCACCACATCAACAACCACCACCACATCAACAACCACCACCACATCAACAACCACCACCACATCAACAACCACCACCACATCAACAACCACCACCACATCAACAACCACCACCACATCAACAACCACCACCACATCAACAACCACCACCACATCAACAACCACCACCACAACAACAACCACCACCACATCAACAACCACCACCACAACAACAACCACCACCACATCAACAACCACCACCACATCAACAACCACCACCACATCAACAACCACCACCACATCAACAACCACCACCACATCAACAACCACCACCACATCAACAACCACCACCACATCAACAACCACCACCACATCAACAACCACCACCACATCAACAACCACCACCACATCAACAACCACCACCACATCAACAACCACCACCACATCAACAACCACCACCACATCAACAACCACCACCACATCAACAACCACCACCACATCAACAACCACCACCACATCAACAACCACCACCACATCAACAACCACCACCACATCAACAACCACCACCACATCAACAACCACCACCACATCAACAACCACCACCACATCAACAACAACCACCACCACAACAACAACCACCACCACATCAACAACCACCACCACATCAACAACCACCACCACATCAACAACCACCACCACATCAACAACCACCACCACATCAACAACCACCACCACGTCAACAACCACCACCACATCAACAACCACCACCACATCAACAACCACCACCACCACATCAACAACCACCACCACCACATCAACAACCACCACCACGTCAACAACCAACACCACCACATCAACAACCACCACCACATCAACAACCACCACCACATCAACAACCACCACCACAACAACAACCACCACCACATCAACAACCACCACCACATCAACAACCACCACCACATCAACAACCACCACCACATCAACAACCACCACCACATCAACAACCACATCAACAACCACCAGCACCACAACAACAACCACCACCACATCAACAACCACCACCACATCAACAACCACCAGCACCACAACAACAACCACCACCACATCAACAACCACCACCACATCAACAACCACCACCACATCAACAACCACATCAACAACCACCACCACATCAACAACCAACACCACCACATCAACAACCAACACCACCACATCAACAACCAACACCACCACATCAACAACAACCACCACCACATCAACAACCACCACCACATCAACGACCACCACCACCACATCAACCACCACCACCACATCAACAACCACCACCACAACAACAACCACCACCACCACATCAACAACCAACACCACCACATCAACAACCAACACCACCACATCAACAACCAACACCACCACATCAACAACCACCACCACCACATCAACAACCACCACCACATCAACAACCACCACCACATCAACAACCACCACCACCACATCAACCACCACCACCACATCAACAACCACCACCACAACATCAACAACCACCACCACCACCACATCAACAACCAACACCACCACATCAACAACCACCACCACATCAACAACCAACACCACCACATCAACAACCACCACCACATCAACAACCACCACCACATCAACAACCACCACCACATCAACAACCAACACCACATCAACAACCACCACCACCACATCAACAACCACCACATCAACAACCACCACCACATCAACAACCACCACCACATCAACAACCACCACCACATCAACAACCACATCAACAACCACCACCACAACAACAACCACCACCACATCACCAACCACCACCACATCACCAACCACCAGCACCACAACAACAACCACCACCACATCAACAACCACCACCACATCAACAACCACCACCACATCAACAACCACCACCACATCAACAACCACCACCACATCAACAACCACATCAACAACCACCACCACATCAACAACCACCACCACATCAACAACCACCACCACCACATCAACAACCAACACCACCACATCAACAACCAACACCACCACATCAACAACCACCACCACCACATCAACAACCACCACCACATCAACAACCACCACCACCACATCAACCACCACCACCACATCAACAACCACCACCACATCAACAACCACCACCACCACAACAACCACCACCACCACATCAACAACCAACACCACCACATCAACAACCACCACCACATCAACAACCACCACCACATCAACAACCACCACCACATGAACAACCACCACCACATCAACAACCACCACCACAACAACAACCACCACCACCACATCAACCACCACCACCACATCAACAACCACCACCACATCAACAACCACCACCACATCAACAACCACCACCACATCAACAACCACCACCACATCAACAACCACCACCACATCAACAACCACCACCATATCAACAACCACCACCACATCAACAACCACCACCACCACAACAACCACCACCACATCAACAACCAACACCACCACATCAACAACCACCACCACATCAACAACCACCACCACAGCAACAACCACCACCACATGAACAACCACCACCACAGCAACAACCACCACCATAACAACAACCACCACCACCACATCAACAACCACCACCACATCAACAACCACCACCACATCAACAACCACCACCACAGCAACAACCACCACCACATCAACAACCACCACCACAGCAACAACCACCACCACATCAACAACCACCACCACATCAATAACCACCACCACATCAACAACCACCACCACATCAACAACCACCACCACATCAACAACCACCACCACATCAACAACCACCACCACATCAACAACCACCACCACATCAACAACCACATCAACAACCACCACCACAACAACAACCACCACCACATCACCAACCACCACCACATCAACAACCACCACCACATCAACAACCACATCAACAACCACCACCACATCAACAACCACCACCACCACATCAACAACCACCACCACCACCACATCAACAACCAACACCACCACATCAACAACCACCACCACCACATCAACAACCACCACCACATCAACAACCACCACCACCACATCAACAACCACCACCACCACATCAACAACCACCACCACCACATCAACAACCAACACCACCACATCAACAACCAACACCACCACATCAACAACCACCACCACATCAACAACCACCACCACATCAACAACCACCACCACATGAACAACCACCACCACATCAACAACCACCACCATAACAACAACCACCACCACCACATCAACAACCACCACCACATCAACAACCACCACCACATCAACAACCACCACCACATCAACAACCACCACCACATCAACAACCACCACCACAGCAACAACCACCACCACATCAACAACCACCACCACATCAACAAC